CTGCATAGTTCGATCTGTCAGTCCCTGTTGTTCTTTCAGGATTCTTCATACACTCTTAATTGATTTTGCTGAGGCTTTTTGAAGTCGGAAGCAGTGGTTTTCTCCCTTTAAGCTCTCCTTTATTCTCACAGAGCTGCAGGATCAGAGAATTTAGATTAAATTCGTTTTAAATGGAAACAATGTGTAGCCTGTGGCATTATTCACACCTCTGAGCAGCCCAACTGACCGGCAGGCCAGGCCAGAGGGAGGTGAGAGCCTCCATTTGAGCATGGACTGGTGTGGTAGCAATAAGACATGGGTTTAATACACACAACTTGTCAGTGTTTTCCCTCTTGCATCTTTTTAATCAGTGAGACAGCAGTTTTCCTACTAGCTTTGTGGATGCTTCGTGTAAGCTGAGCTGTGATATGGATTCCAGCCCTGTATAACAGGTGACACACACCCCCCATGCTGGGATCAGGACCTGGTTTCGTGCCCTTACCACCTCCTCTTTACAACCTCCCCTCATCCCAGCCAACCTAGAGAAGCTGCCAACCCAGACAGCATCAGGATTTACTTCAAGAAAATAAACCCATGGGAAAGAAATTCTCCAACTGCTTCGCTACACGCAGTGATGGGGGGGTTGAAGGTCCCAGTGTGAGGGGAGGAGGAAGAATCTCCCACAGGTGCTCCTGCAGGAGGATGTGGGAGCTTGAATTTCCTCAGCCAGGAGGAGATCTGAAAGGGCTGTGGGAGGCACTGAGCCCTCACAGGGCTGCAGAAGGGGCTGGGATCTGACTTTGGCACCCAGGAAACATCAGTGGGTGCTGCAGCACTTGCCAGAACTCGCCTGGAGCAAACGCACACCCCTGAGACAGGGCAGGGGAGACAGGCAGCAGTGTCAATAAATCGATGGCAAACCACTTCCTCCGCCTGGGAAAGGACTCAAGGAGCCCAAGGACTTTGTGCTGCTGCTTACCTCAGGTCTGGCTTTGTTTTTTTGTTGCTTTCTTTTTCAAACCGCTTGCTTCCTATTCTCATTAAACAGAGCTGATTGTGACGGCTGTATTTTTTTTAAATCAAGCTCCTTTCTGTCTCCTGCTCCTCTTCATTTAATTTTCTTTCCTTACAGAGTCGTGGCACATTCCCTGAGCCCCTGACGCGACGGCTTATTGCACCAAAGGCAGGAGGCAGCCCCTCCTGCTGCCACACCGAGGATGCCAGCAAAGAACAAATCCCACGCTGGCAGGAGGGCATCGCTCCTTGGGCACAGGGTGCTGCCCTGCATCACTGCTCCTACTGCACTCAGTGCCTGCTGCTTGTAGGGCAGAAGACTTTCCACTGCCTGGTGGCTTTAGGTATTTTTTTTGTCTTTTTTTGTTGTTTTCTTTTTTTCTATTTGTTTGTTTCCAGTTCACTTTTTTTCTTAATGGATAGAGTTGCTGGGGTTCCAGGAAGCGACGCAGCTAAGTGTGGCTCTGGGTGATCAGCTGGACACAGGAGGTGCCAACTTGAAGCCAAAAATGGATATTCTTCATTTCCCCCCAAGCTGAACAACATTTGTTCTGCTGAATTCAACCCTTTCAAATATAGATGGGCCTGCTGCATGTATAGATTGTCTTTAATGTGAATGACAGCAGAGCAGCTCAGCTGCCTTCCTATAGTCATCTCCTTAGACATGGTGCTTTGTTTCATAGAGCCACTGAATGGTTGGGCTGGAAGGGACCTTAAAGCCCCTCCAGCCCTAACCCCTGCTGTGGGCTGTGTGCCCCCCACCAGCTCAGGCCGCCCAGGGACCTATCCTTGGCCTTGGGCACCTCCAGGGATGGGGTACCCACAGCTCTCTGGTGCTGCTGTTCTATTCAAGTTGTGGATGTTCTGTAAGAGGTTCTTCATCTTGGCCACCTGAGGCTTGAACTTCTCATTGTTTTGGGTTTTTTTGGGGGGAGGTGGCATCTCCTAGCTGCTCTTACATTTGGTGTTACTCAGGGTGCAATCAGACACCCTCCTCCTGGAGCTGTTCTCTCTCTTTGCATGAAAGGGTTGCTGGATCACTGTGTTCACCTCATTCCCCGTGCCTCACATGGCAGATAGCTGGAGGGAGCAGCTGGGGGCAGAAACCACTTCAGCCAACAAAGCTGCAGGCGGAGAGAATCACAGAATCATTAAATCATAGAATCACAGAATGGCCTGGGTTGCAAAGGCCCACAGTGCTCATCCAGTTCCAACCCCCTGCTGTGTGCAGGTCACCAACCAGCAGCCCAGGCTGCCCAGAGCCACATCCAGCCTGGCCTTGAATGCCTGCAGGGATGGGGCATCCACAGCCTCCTTGGGCAACCTGTTCCAGAGCAGGGGTATTGCACCATGACAGCCATCAAGACAACCTGCTGCTCACAGTGCTGCTCTGGGGATGCAGCATGAGGGGTTGTGCAGGTGCACGCACTTCTTTGCTGCAGCGGTGCCTGTGGGATTCTTCAGGCTGGGGCTGGGCACTGGAGCAGTGCAGAGCAGCAGCAGCAGGGTGTCTCGGTGTGATGGTGACACAGGGAGAAAGCAGAGGGGCCTGGAGCTGCTGCAGAAACGCAGGCACATCCCTGCCTCTCCCTGTGCTGCTCATTCAGAGCTCGCTCACAGCAGGGGCAAAAGCTGGGGGCAGCAGGAAAGGAACCCACTGTGCAGCCCTTGTGCCAAGAGGTGCACTTAGCAGCCACTTGTGAAGCGCTCCAGCGCTACCAAGGCAGGGCAGGAGGTAATTTTCAAGCAACGAAGAAAGGCATATAAATAGAAGCAAGAGAAATATTGAAGCTGGCAGGGCCGCTTTGCAGATGAGAAAGCACAGAGCTGCAGTCAGGGAAGCAGCGCGTGCACCCCAGGCCATGAGTGCTGCAGCAGCACCATTAACAACTTGCTTTCCTTATGGCTTCTTGCTTGCTTTTCCCATTGTCTGTGATGTGTGCAGGTAGGGAGGCACAGCCCTTCCTGGTGCTTTCCTCTTGGACAGCATCAGCCTGCAAACCCTGACCCAGGCTGCAATGGGTTGATGAGATTTTGCCCTTCAACATGCAGAAATCCAACTCGGAGCCTTCCTACCCTGGGCTGCCTTGCCACAGCTGTGGGAGCAGCCTCTGTCCTTTGGTTTTACAAAGGGCAAATCCCATTATCTTGACTTTGCTCAACTTATGACTGGTTTGCTTAAGCTTCGGTTTGCTTCACCTAATGCTTTTGCCTCTAACTTTGGAGGAGAGGGAGCTGCAGCCTGTCCACCCCACTCACCCCGATGCGTTTTGTTTCCTCCAGGCATCCCTGCACTCATCACTGAGTCCCATGCAGAAGGTGCTGTGCTGGGACACCACAGGACGAGGCAGGGCTGCCCACGACAACCACCTACAGCAAAGTGTGACTGCTCCTGGCTTTGAAAGCCCTTTTGCAATTAATTGCAGGATGCAATTAGCTGATTTCTTCCCCCACTGGAAGGAGCTACCTGTTCTGCCGCAGATGCTGCTCAAGTGAAGAGTCAACAAAATGATGTAATGACCCAACCTTTCAGGGTAATGTGAAAGAGAATGTTTTGGCCAACTCAAAGAATCCTCACAGGGGGGAGATGGGGACACTGCCACCCTCGGGTGCTGCTCCCTGCTCTACACCTCGTCCCTGTGCACTGAGCACTCCTCAGCACAGCCATCGTTAAGCACCGGTTTTATTGCACAGTGCTGCTGTCTGCTAGCAAAGACCTGATGTGTTGTTATATTCAGTGCATGCTTATTAAATTTACAATTCATAATCAAAATCTTACGACATTGTTTTGCAGAAAAAGGCTTCTGTGAGGCTTGCTTCTTTTAATACCAACATAAAGGCTTCAATTGGTGCAATGTGTGTCGAAGCAGCCTTCAATCTCCTCTGAGCCCTCCGGCGGTGCAGCCCACATGACAGGCAGGCAGCAAAGTGCAAATTACGGGTCCCAAACAGCTGCACTTCACCTCAAAGTGTGAAATTTGTCACCAGACAGCACTAATGCCTTGGAGGGAATGGCCTGGCTGAAAACATGAGCACGGACGGCTCTTTGCAGTGAGGTTGGTGCCAGCAGCTCAGCACTGCTGAGCTCCACTCGGTGCCCACAGCTCCACTGCACTCCCACAGGCATATCCTGGCTTTGCCAGAGGGCTGAGCTTTCTGATACCAAGTGCTGAGCTTTGCTCACCTGGAAATGAAGGCTGGGGGAGCTGAGCATGTCAGTGTGATTCACAATGCACGACAGCACCAGAACAGCCCCGTTCTGGGGAGAACACTAGGGATTCAGCACAGAAATCGCAGTGCATCCATTTTCATCTCCTGTGCTTTGTGGCAGTAGAAGCTTAACGTGTCCCAGTTACCAGTGGCACCTTTCATCATCTCCTGATGAATTAATCCTGTCCTGAAGCAGCATGGATAAGGGAGAACAAGGGGTGCTGGACACCTTGCCCTGAACAAGGCTTCTGCCCCTGCCGCTGCACAGCATTCTTGTGCCCAGGGCACTGAGTTCCAGAATGGAGGAACAGAACATTGAGAGTGGAGATGAAAAGAACGGAAAGGAGGCCAACGGAGGCCAGTTATGGTGTAGGGTATGGGTGAGGAGAATGTGCATAGAGAAGAAGGGGACCAGAGGTGCACAGTGACAGGTCACAGGGCAGTGGCACAAGTTTCAAAGTGCCAAAGCTATTTTCCCAATCTTTTCACCATACAAGGCGTCAAATACTGAAACAGGGACCTACGTGTTGTAGGCTTTATACCACAGAGGTATATAAGCGTCGGCTGAACAGGATGCTGAGCAACCTCATCTGCTTGAACCTGCTTTAAAGGAGATTGGACTGGAGCCTCGGAGACACAAATGTGACTGTGACCCCACAGAGGCTTAAGATAAGTTTCAATCTCCAACCCTACCATCAGCAAGGTGGACAGTGGCTTCCAACCCCTGATAGCCTCCTAGAAGGATCAAAGTGCACTGCTTGGGATGGACAAAAAGCAGCTGTGGCAGTGTAAATAAGTAAGTAGGCACAGAGCAGGAATTCATTTATGTTGCACAATAACCCACACAATTTCAATGCATATTAAAGGTCCAATGGCAGCATCCTAGAAATAATGGACACTTTTCCACACTGGGCTGCCTTATAGGGTGCCCTTCAGTTCACCTGTGATTCAGTCCCACATAGCAACGCAGCAAAGGCAGCCCTGGATGTGTGTGTGATGTCCACCACCCCTCCTGGGGCAAAGCACACCTCAGGAGAACCGTGCTCCTCATTTGCTGCCATGGGCACAAACAAGTCCTTTGCAGCTGGCAGGCTTTGGTTTTCAGCCTCCAACCAGCACCGTGAGCTTTTCTCCTGGATCAGCCACGTCCTCTCCTTGCAGCAGGTGGGGTGAGGACCTGCTGGGTTCACTGCAGCCTTTTCACCATGTATGGCCCCTCCAGCTCGTAGCCGATCTTCCTGTAGTAGTTCCTCGTGCCAACGCCTGTGAGGAGAACAGTAGAGCTTTAATGCAGTGTTTCATCTGCCCTGTCCACTGTGCTGAGAAAAGCTGCAAGGCAGAGACGAAGGGAACGGCAGTGAACACATCTGGGAGCTCAGAAGAAAACCAAAGGTGAGCTCCCTGGAGCAGGCGGCCCAGCTGCAGGCACCTCTACCAGGAACTGAAGGGCTCTAGAGCCCAGCAGCTGCGTCCCGGTGCTCCTAGAAATGAGCTCAGCTCCACTCCAGCTCGACAAGTGGGCTCTGCAGCCGCAATCCAATTTCCTCATTGAATGGAGGCTCTGTGTGCCTCTGGTCCTCGTCTTCCTCTTCTAATGAACCCCATTGCATCCTGCAGCAAGACAGGTCTGTGCCAGCAGCCTCCCCCCTCACCTTATCTAATTACTCACATATGCAGACATTAGTCATCAGCAGAGGAAGGACTCAGCATCACGGCACTGCTGTCCCTGCAGCCGGTGGGCAGGGACAGCAGGACAGATTCCACAGCCCTCTCCTCCCCTTTCCTACAGCAGGGGGTGGGACCGGCTGATCTCTGAGGTCCCTTCCACCCTACTCCACTCAATGCTTCTACGATTAATCTCAGAGCCTCCAGCCAGTTCCTGGAAACCCTGGCACTTGGAAATGGCTCTCCAGGAACGGCCGTGTCCCCACCGTGCAGTGCCTGGCATAACCCCTTCCTGCTCGTGCACCTGAGGCCACCTCACCACCAGGAGCATGTTGAGGAGCTGCGATGCGTTCCCCAATGCACGCTGCAGTACTTACAAGATGCTTCAGCACCAGAGCTCCAGGCAGTCCCTCCTCCTGATCCTTACACTGGATATAAGGAGAAGGATTTTTATGCTAAGAGTACTGAGGCACTGGCACAGGTTGCCCAAAGAGGCGCTGGATGACCATGCCAAGGTCAGGCTGGATGGGGCTCTGAGCACTGATGGAGCTGTGGGTGTCCCTGTTCAGTGCAGGGAGTGGGATCAGACAGCCTTTAAGGGTCCCTCCCAACTCAAACAGTTCTGTGATTCCTGTCCAGGGGAGCCGGATCTCTGACCTGCAGCAAACCATCACTTGCATCAACACCTTGCCCCCAAATCCCCAGGGCTCATTAGCAGAGACACTGGGATGTGACATACAGACAGTGGCAATAAAGCAGCAGAGCCACTCTACCTGCAGCCCAGAACTCAAGCAAAAGTGAAATCAAAGCTGAAGAAGAATCCTCAGAGCCAACGACAACACAGTAATTCAGATTATGGTTTTAAAACCACCTCGATTAGAACTGGTTAAACAGCCCCTCCTTTTTTTTTTCCCCTCAAACTCTTGGGAAATGCGTGGATTTTAAAAGAAGGCAGCTGAGGTTGCAGCGGAGCATTGTGTGCTGCCCCCATTAATCTCAGAGCTATTAAGTGGCCCTAGTGAAGTGCCAGCTCCTCCTCGTTTGAGGCCGATGGGTTCGAGCCATTAACAAGACTGATGATGCAGTTGGCAGCCCTGTGCTCCTGGGGTCCCACGCAGTGCTGCCTCTTGAAGCACCTCTGTCGTCATCAAGCCATGCTCATAGCAAAACTTCTTGCACAGAATCACTGTCCTTCAAATGAACTACGGAATGGTTGGGTTGGAAGGGACCTCACATTCCACCCACTCCTGTCATGGGTAGGGCTGCCATCCACCAGATCAGGCTGCCCAGGACCCCATCCAACCTGGCCCTGGGCACCTCCAAGGGCATCCACAGTTTCAGAAAGATGGAAAGGAGCAGGCAGGAGGTGAGATGCCTCAATGAGATTTCGGAGGCATCCTGCTAGCTCCAGCACTGCAGGAACGTCTTCAAGGCAAGAAGCTTTTTTTGAAGGGAAAAGCTCTCATGAAGATATCCCAAGAAGCAGCCACTGGGTTCAGGTACAGAAGCCAAGCATTTGGGATTATGACCATTGGACCATCAGATCCTAGCAGAGCTGGAAATTCAACACATGGATGCAGAAAAAAGCAGGGAGAGAAAGGCAGCAATGTGCTGCTTACAGAGCAGAGGGCAGAGCCCATCCACGAGCCTCCATCGTGCTACAGAATAGGGATCTGCATTTGGAAAGGGGAAGGCAGGCAGGTGGGAGGTACGAGCTGCTGCACAGACGTCTTAGGGACCAACCTGGTGAGGCAGGAGCGGAGCAGCAGATGGGATCCCTTGGTGCTCAGCCCATGCACCTGCACTGTGCTGACTTTTGGTTCCCTGGGCTCCTCCTCCCCACTGCATGCTTGGTCTGAAGCTGGGCAAAGCGCTGTGCATTCAGACCTTGGTGTCTGGGCTGGATCTGCCTCTGGAACACAGCCTGTAGCTTATTTTTCTCTGAAAGGAACTGTGCTGAAATGCAGCAAGAGCCCAGTGAAGCAAAATGATGCGCAGCAATTGAGGGTGAGCTCAGGATTCACTTCAGCTGCTCAGAACCCAAACAGCAACAGATCCAGCCTACAGAATTCACTGGGATGCTATGAATACAAAGGCGCTTCTCTGTAGTCAGAGAGTATCAGGAAATCACAGGCAGGGTGAAGGAAGGATGTTTTACAATCAGTGTGACACAACTGGGAAAGAAACGGGGTGTTGAAATGTGGAATTAAAAGCAGGCTGACAGCCAGCAGCCAGGCTGCCTTCACCCATGAGAGAAGCAGAAGTCAGAAGGCACTGCTGAACGGAATAAAAGCTCCGTGGGGCACGAATGACTGCCCATAAATCATGAAGAAGTCATTTCCATTGTGAGATTATCACCATTTTGTATGAACGCAAAGCCCAAACAATAGACAACGGAGCAGGGCGAAGCTGCTGGCTTCTGTCAGGACAGCATCGACGTGCAAGAAGTAAGAGAATGAGAGCTATTAAACTAACAAGCCACTTTGTCTGTTCACAAGTCACGCCAGATTAAGGGCTGGAGAAGCCATCCGTAATGTCTAACAGTACTGAAAGGAAGGCACCAGTTCTCTTCCCAATCACAGCATCGTCATATAATAACTTGGGTTGGAAGGGACCTCAAAGATCATCCAGTTCCAACCCTCCTGCTGCAGGCAGGGTTGCCAACCACTAAATCAGGCAGCAGCGCAGGGCCGCATCCCTGAACACCCCCAGGGGTGCCTTGCTGCTCTGATTTACAGCACGTGTACCTACAGCTCAAAGTCAAACCCCAGCGAAAAGCAACATCATTCCACAAGTACCACAAAAGAAATAACACACGGGAATGGAAGAGTACAGCCAGAAGCTGTCACAAGAAGCTTTTCGACTTCCAAAAGCCATCATCAGTTGCCTTTCAAATGGGCCTCTGAATGTTAAACATTCCACACCAAACTTAGCAGTGAGTTCCGTTTGAACAATCTGGGAGCACAGGGGCTTGGATCACACCTGCTGGGCAGAACCCACGGCCAGCTGAGGCTTTTTGGAAGCATCCCTTGCTGCAATCTTTGATGACACATCTTCTGGCACCGCCTGCCCGTTCATTTCATAGCCTTTTGCTCTCTCCTTTTGGTGGTGGCTGAATAACGGCGAAGCCTACTGATAAAACCCCCAAATCTTTTTACTGTAACATTTAAACTGCAAAAAGAAATTAAAAACAAACAAGCAAACAAACAGAGGATGGTGGAAGGTGACCACGGTATCAGGGTTAAACATTTCTGGCCCTGAAGGAGGATGGAGGAAATCAGCTTTCTCTGCCCACATGCAGCCCCCTGCCCGTGACCTTGCTATGCAAAGCCCATAAATACACCCTTCTGACTCAGCTCTGCCACACAGAAATATTGCAGTGCAGCAGCAGAGCCCGAGTATCCTCAAAGATTCCTTCAGCATGGCTCGCTGGGCACAGAACTAAGTGAAAATGAGATTGTTTTCAGGCTCATTAAAGAGCAACTAATAGTTCATAAAATTTCCATAGCAGAGACTTACCGAGGCACATGAGAGAATTATCTCTACATAGGCCTCCACATCTTTTGGCAACCACTGAAATCCATCCCGAAGCAGTGCAGTCGGGGCATGTAGCATTTCACAGCTTCCTTCCCCCTCAATCCATATCTTAGAAGCAGTTACCAGAGCCTTGCGTGCCAGGCAGCATGAACCCACATCAGCTGAACCTTCCAAATTGCCTCCAACCACCCATGTGCCAACTGCTGTTCTGCTGGCAGTCAGAGCTCTGCCAAGTGTTATGGAACTGACTGCCTTGCTCCATGCTTTGCTTTGAGCTTCGGGCTCACTGCATGGGCACCCAAATCACTGTAGGATCTCAGTTGGGTAGGGAGATCGTGGCATCCAAATTGCTGTAGAATCTCAGTTGGGTAAGGACATCGTGGCACCTGAATTGGTTGTAGGGTCTCTGCTGGGTAGAGTTGTCCTTCAAGGGTGCTGAGCAAAAGACTCCTGGTTCCTGCAGGCAGTGGGACAGGAAATGGTACTTGCTGAAGCGTCATGGACTTTATCCAGACTAGCAGCGAATCCCAAGCCAGCCTCTGGAATCTGGGGCAGCCAAGGCTCTGAGAACCTCCCGTGCACATCTCCTGTGATCAGACTGATGCTGCCAGAGCATGAGGGGCATTCAAAGGCCATCATGCAGGGATCACAAAGCTCACATTTTGGAACTCTTAAGACACGTGGTTGGGTGACTTGGAGAGTTGTGAGCGGTGTGCAAGCCAACACAACCCCCTTCTTCCCTGTGGCTATTGGTGGAGACTCAAGATTGCTTCTAAGAGAGAAGTTTTAGGTTTTCCTTTATATTTCTTGCCTCGACCTCCACCAAACCCAAGAAGAAACTTGGCTGGCTGTAAGAAAATGCCTCATTGTGAAATCTGCTGTTCAGTCTTGACTTCAAAGCTTGACAGCCAGCATTTAATGGCACCTGGCAGCCACCCAGTGACCATCCAGAGCCCAGCAAAGGGACTTCCTCACACTGGTACGACCTACTTAAATGAGGAAGGGCCAAACCCATGGTTTCAAATACCTCGCAGAAGGGAGAGATGAGAGAACTTTTTCTT